AAGTAGACTACACTAAAATACATAATTCTTTTTATCGATTTTTGATTTCGATGAATGGTGTTGTCGTTGTTACTAAAAATAGAAATTTTCGTGAAAATCATTCAAAATGCTACTCCTCCTACAGTTTTGGTCTGATTTCAATATAACTTGGCACACAAGTAGACTACACTAAGATACATAATTCTATGTATCGGTTTTTAATTTCGATGAACGGTGTTGCCGTTGTTACTAAAAATAGAAATTTTTGTGAAAATCATTCAAAATGCTACTCCTCCTACAGTTTTAAACTGATTTCAATATAACTTGGCACACAAGTAGACTACACTAAAATACATAATTCTGTGTATCGGTTTTTGATTTCGATGAATGGTGTTGTCGTTGTTACTAAAAATAGAAATTTTTGTGGAAATTATTCAAAATGCTACTCCTCCTACAGTTTTGGTCTGATTTCAATATAACTTGGAACACAAGTAGACTACACTAATGTACATAATTCTGTGTATCGGTTTTTGTCATTATTCTTTTTATTGCTTTTGTAAAGTTTTATATCCTTACTGTTACTTTTCTCTTTCTTTATTATAAGTACAAACCAGTAGAGCTTCAGTCTCGACAGAGACTTCTGGTTGATGCAGGTTTCATTTCCAATTAACTGTGAACCCTATAATGAGCAAACTTGCATGGACGATATATCTTAGGATGCACACTAATGGACTTGCTTCGGATGCTGAATTTGACATACATTTTTCAGATAATGGACCAGGTAAAAGTTGTGGGTGCAGGTCTATTACCAAAAAACTATAAGGCTTATATAACATTGTATAAACCAAACTTGCACAAATGATGCATCAAGGGATGAAAACTCTCAAATTTGCTTCAGATGCTGGATTTTAATTACATTTTCATGAAGAAAAAGTAGTTTTAATTATTATATAGGTCTATTTCAAAGTATCAGATCAAAATTGCTTAAATATTTTCATTTTTGGAATGTACACTTTTTGTTTGTTAATTGTGTGACTTTGCCTTACTTAAAGACAACATTCGTTGAGGTGAGCTCTGTAATCTCTGATTACCTATGTTTATGTCATGGCTTCATATTATCAATTACTGATATTAGTAATGACGTGTGCTTAAATTTGTAAATATCTGTGTATTTGTAGGTCAATTGTAAAATTATGCTGCAAGATAAACAAAATACATGATAACTTTCTTGATTATAAGGGATATTTGGACTTGGTTTGAAAATGTGATGGAGGGTTTGGCAAGTCTAGCCCTTTATCATGCTTTCTTACCCTTGCCTAAATTTCGCTTATATTTCAATTAACCATGTATTTTATATGTATACAATGTTCCATTTTATCTTTTGTACTGCAATATAGTGCATCCTGCTCCTCGCCCCCCCCCCCCCCCCCCAAAAAAAATGGTATATTAATTGGTATAATTGCACCCAAGTATGACTTTAGCATATGTACACTTTCATGTCTACCCTTATTTTGTTGTTTGAATTGTACATGCTGTATGAGTATACATATTAAATCTTTCTTATTTGTCATTGAAATTAAAAACAAACTCGAAATTCAAATTGTGTTTATTCCAAAGTATTGTGTTTGTGTGTCTGGCCATATTCAAACAACCTGACCATGTTTTCTTTTACCCATGGAATCTTCAGTGAGAACATTATTAAAGGACATGTTTCCATTTGGTCTTCTATTGGCTGTCTCTGATATTTGGGTTTATTGGGGTCAGGATTGACGTCAACAAATGTATTGACCTCCTTTGATATCAAAAGCATGATCATTTTGGTCACCATTAAACTAAATTTAGACTGCTTCTTCTTGAATGATTAGCCATTTAACTGTCATTTTAACTTGATATTACAAAAGGGAAAGCTATTGTGAAATTGATTGATAAGAGTGAAAGCTGACGATTGTACAAAGTAGTTTTGTACCTCCATGAGATTATTGCTGTTTTATTGAATTCTGTGTCCAGAAATCTGGAAAAAGATTGAAAAAATCATGCAGAGTTTTGTTTTGCAGTTGTAGCATTGCTCATACAAATCAATGTACTTGCATGTATGCACTATACCAATATGGCAACTATAGTTCTTCAGGAATGACTACCAGATGTGTATTTAGGCTGTTCAAAGTTAATTCTACGTTTAACGTCACATCTAAAGTTCAAAACCTACGAGGGAGGGAGGAAAAAAATAAACAAACAAAAATTTCAAACAATTGTGAATTTATTCAAATAAACCATTTCAGTACATTAACTAGAATTGAGTAATAAGAGTATTGGATGTGACACCTAAGTTTAATTTTCCTAGCAGAGTTTTTCCTTAGAATGTTAATTGGTTTGAGTCTTGTTGTGAGCAAACAATGTAGACTGAATGTGCAGGAAAGTTGCTTGTCCTTTGGATTTATATTGCCTCACATCCATGGTACCCTGTAAGGAAATGCTTCTTCTTGTGGGAATAGTTGATCAATATCTACAATAAAGATTATGATGACAATATTTAATTAATTCTTATATTGAAATATCTTGAAATTGAATTATGTTGTTTTTTTTTCTCACAGTACTAGATCTATTAGAATTTAGATTTGAAAGTGTATTACATGTAGTTTATTCTAAATACCTTCATCCACACACAGGACATGGTTCTTCACTTCTTAAAATACCCAACCACTTTCCTTACTCTCCTTCACTTGAAAGGCTTATCTTCTGTAAGCTTCTCCCTGCTTAAATGGCAAAGACTAGTATTATCTTTCCAAAAACATTTAGGTATTTATACTAGGTACGTACTTGAATTATGAAGAAATCAATCTTACTCATTACTGTTCCTTTAAATTTTTACAAATATTTAATATGAAAGTATTTGATAAAATTTAAATGATGCATCTCACTGTATATAATTTTTTTTACACATCTTGCACTCAGTTAAAAGCTCTGCGATTCTCTCCAAAATACGATGAAAAGTTCAGCCAAAATAATCACAAACTGAGTCTGTCATTGTCACAGTCTGTACACATGGTACATATGATTCGAAGACTGACAAAAAAAAATCAACAAACTAGACTTTGTCATTAACTTCAATCATAAAAACATCAATTTTTTACTTATATTTATGATCCCATACTGTTTAATTCACTCCTTTTCATTTAATAAACACAAACACCATCTACAGAGGTATCAAAGCACATTTTCTGTCACTACGGGATCCAGAATTGAGTCGCTAAATGTAAAACCAAACCGGAACGGAAATACGGAATTCCGAATTGTTTGTTTTTTTCAAAGACGATTTTCTCCAAAACCTACGCGCGCGGGTGACGTTAAACGTAGAATTAATCTTAAACAGCCTTATTAGGGATGTCAACGAGTACCCAGTTAACCGGGTACTCGATCGAACGTCCGAGTATCGAATACTAAAATCGTTACTCGGTTACTCTGATGTATATTTCTAAGCTTATTTATTAATGCATTAAACAATCTTTTTTAAAACGTAAAATTCTCATTGCACTTGTACATACAGTAATTAGGGTTTACTACGACTCTAAATGACCGTTATCGCCTGTGGCAGTGTTTATACAGTAATTATCGTGACCAAGTACCTGTGGTACCTGACTTTTCTCACCTTTGGCTGCCTCCTACCCTTATTTTTTGTTTGTTTTAATTATTTGTTTTCACTGAACATCATTTAAGATCCATTATGTTTAAATAAATTAGATAATTTTGTCAATTCTCCGAGAAGCCGTAAATTCTCGGGAAAAGAGCTGATGATATTACACATGCGATTGTTGATATGGTTGTGTTTGATTACATGCCAATACAACTGGTTGAAGGCTAAGGCTTTAAAAAAAACTTATGTCCATCATTGCACCAAAGTACAAAATACCATCCCGTAAAAATCTATAAAATCCATAAAATCTAGGATCGAAAAATTAAGTGTACGAAAATCGTAAATCCGCTCTGTTAGGAGAACTTGATCAAGTTCAAGTTGATACTGTACGTAGCTCTGACGACTGATACCTGGTCGTCAAACACGACAAAGAGTTACATTACAATTACGGTGCAGATTATATTTTTTAAACAAAAACACTGTGAACAACTTATGATTTTATTTCTTGTGTTTATCTGATAAATAAATTGAATTTTTAAAAATGTTATATTAATTAAATTTCATCGGGCACGAAGTGCTCATGCACCATTATTACAACAGAAATACATTTACGGATAAGCCTCCTATCAGTGCATCTAGTTTTATTTCTACAAGAGTTTACAATGTTTTACTGTCTTCAATTTACTTGTTCATATTTATTTACACTTTAACCGAGTACCCGGTTACTCGATCGGAAAAACGTCCGAGTAACCGAGTATTGAAAATTGGCCGATTTGTCATCCTTAGTATTTATACAAAAGAAGTTTGAAATATGAAATCCAATTTGGGGTTCAAAAGCTTTCAAACAAATTGAGTTTTAAATATTTAATTACTAACAAAATTGATGTTTTTTCAATATTTTAAAATTGAGATTTTTGAAAATTCATTATAATTATAAAATATAATAATTTTAACATTTTAAACTTTTAGGGAACACAAAATCAGTTCTGTGAAAATTGCCAGGGATTGCAAAAAACTTCCCTGTATCTGTAAATTTGCTATGTGCATGTAAAAAACATATTTTACTGTTAGTATTATTCTATATAAAACTTGAAAATATATACAGTGGACCCTCATTTATCCGGACGCTTTGGTCCCCAGTCACTTTGTCTGGATATGTGAAGCGTCCGGATATCTGAAATACCAATTAAACAAGACAAAATATCGTTTAAAAATTCCGTTCCGATGAAAAGTCGTCCGGATACTGAAGCATCCGGATATCTGGCGTCCGGATATCTGAAGGTCCACTGTATATTAACTATACTACCGGGTATATGATACAAGTAACTACATGTATACTACCACAGGAATATAGAAATACAAGTAACAAGTCTAATTTTTGTCATTTCAGATAATGAAGAGTTGATCAAGCTACTTAAAAGATATGAAAAGCTGGAAATTGGAGGTTTGACAGTTAATTGTTTTAAATCAGAATATAGTTTGTAATCATACATTTCATGTTAGCTTCATGATGAATTTGCTTTTTCCATTACTCTGCCTTTTTTCTTTTTAATGCTTTAAAGGTGTTTTATCATGTTCTTAAATCTGGAGATGCAATTATTTTTTTTTATTATTATTTTTACATTACTGTAGATCACTTAATTATCGCGACACCTTATTTTTGCGAGATAGTCATTGTCTCTTGATTAGCGAGACAAAATTTTCACGAATTGTGGTTATCGCTCTATATAATCTTAAAGAATACTATTATACGCGAGAATTAAATTTTCGCTAGCATATTGTGACAGTCATGCGTAATAACGCGAAAATAACGTTCTCGCGAATAAAAAGTGATTTACAGTATACTGTGATTTTACAATTTTAATTAGTACTTGGAAGAAAGTCATAATTAGGTGATAAAATGCCAGTTAAATCTCTGTTCTTTAGATTGTTACTGTAGTACTTTGACGTCATAGGTTTCAATTCTTGTATAGCTGATCCTAAGAATATTAAATAGATTTTGATGTAAAATAAATCAAAGTATGGAGGAAAATGTGACATTGACCACTGTTGACAACATTCCCATGGTAATGGACATTGAACCTTATTAGCTCACCTGAGCCGAAGGCTCAAGTGAGCTTTTCTGATCAAAATTTGTCCGTCGTCTGTCGTTGGCGTTGTCGTTGTTGGCGTCGTTGTCGTAAACTTTTCACATTTTTATTGAGTTGGCTCGCGTAGCGAGCTACTCCCTGTCGACATAGCCGTTTCAGAGCTGTAAAATTTATCACGCATTCATCAAGGTGATCCATACGCCAAATATCAAGTTCTAGCAAAAAATGCTTTGGTTTGAGTGATTGTATAAACTTAAGAGGTAAAAACTGTGTAAAATTTCATACTGTAACATTATTTATGCCTTCATGCTTTTAAAGAAATTTTTGATTAAATACCTGTATGATGTACAATTACTGCGTATGAATATTTATGGGGATCTAATCTTCCAATCTGAAGTTTATTTATAATTGACCTAGAATACTCCCTCTCACAAACACCTGCTGCTCTCATTAGCTGCAGCTAGTTGTTGTTGAAAATCTATTTTTAGAATCCAGATTTGCTGTGGGAATCTTTAACCTAATTACTTCATAACACTGACCACTTCAGCTAATGTGCTTAAATTCATAATAGAATCCAGTCAAAATAATACGGAAGCCCATGAGTGCCAACCTGTATATATAAAGGAAAAGCAATATACACTTTATTTATGAACCGAACATGGATAAGACATATAATATTCAATCTCTTAAGATGCAAAATAAACTAAATATATTAAGGTATGGTGCCCAGATGTATTAAAAAGCTCAATTGACTCGAGCGAGTCAACTCACAGGCCTTTCAGGCCTTTGATCTTCTTCTCAAGAACCACTGGGCCAATTTCAACCAAACTTGGCACAAAGTATCCCTAGGTGATAAGGATTCAAGATTGTTCAAATGAAGGGCCATGCCCTCTTCCAAGGGGAGATAATTATGAATTAGTGAAAAATTAATAGCATTTTTAAAAAATCTTCTCCTCAAGAACCACTGGGCCAGGAAAGATGAAACTCATGTGGAATCATTCTCAGGTAGTGTAGATTCAAGTTTGTTCAAATCATGAACCCCGGGGCTAGGGTGGGGCCAAAATGGCCGACCAAAATTTTACATAGGAATATATAGGAAAAATCTTTAAAAATCTTCTTCTTAAGAACCACTGGGCCAGGAAAGATGAAACTCATGTGGAATCATCCTCAGGTAGTGTAGATTCAAGTTTGTTCAAATCATGACCCCCGGGGCTAGGGTGGGGCCAAAATGGCCGACCAAAGTTTTACATAGGAATATATAGGAAAAATCTTTTAAAAATCTTCTTCTCAAGAACCACTGGAATTGGAAAAATGAAACTCATGTGGAATCACATCAGATAGTGTAGATTCAAGTTTGTTCAAATCATGACCCCCGGGGCCAGGGTGGGGCCAAAATGGCCGACCAAAGTTTTACATAGGAATATATAGGATAAATCTTTTAAAAATCTTCTTCTCAAGAACCACTGGAATTGGAAAAATGAAACTCATGTGGAATCATCCTCAGGTAGTGTAAATTCAAGTTTGTTCAAATCATGACCCCCGGGGCTAGGGTGGGGCCAAAATGGCCGACCAAAGTTTTACATAGGAATATATAGGAAAAATCTTTTTAAAATCTTCTTCTTAAGAATCATTGAGAAAGGAAATATGAAACTTAAATGAAATTATCCTCAGGTAGTGTAGATTCAAGTTTGTTTAAATCATGACCCCTGGGGCTAGGGTGGGGCCAAAATGGCTGACTAAAGTTTTACATAGGAATATATAGAAAAATCTTTAAAAATCTTCTTCTCAAGAACCACTATGCCAGGAAAGATGAAACTCGTGTGGAATCATCCTCAGGTATTGTAGATTCAAGTTTGTTTAAATCATGACCCCCGGGGCTAGGATGGGTCCAAAATGGCTGACCAAAGTTTTACATAGGAATATATAGGAAAAACTTTAAAAATCTTCTTCTCAAGAACCTTTGGGCCAGGAAAGACGAAACTTATGTAGAATTATCCTCAGTTAGTGAAGATTCAAGCTTGTTCAAATCATGACCTCTGGGGCTAGTTTTGGGCCAAAAATGGCTGACCAAAGTTGTACATAAGGTTATATAGGGAAACCTTTCAAATCTTCTTTTCAAGTACTTCAAAGCCATGATTAGTGATATTTTTCTATTTATATGGAATCATCCTCAGGTAGTGTAGATTGTACATTGTTCAAATCATGACACCCAGGAGGGTTAAAATTCAAGCCCCCCCCCCCCCCCCCCACCAGTAAACTTTCAGTTTTGATCTGATGTGTGCTTTTTCCTAGTAGATGTGCTCAGGTGAGCGATGTGGCCCTTGGGCCTCTTGTATATTTGAACCTGTAAGTCTTAGCAGAGGGAAATAACAGAGAAAATCTGCTGATAATTATCTAGGAAAGCTCTTGTGAAGATCCCTTATATGCATTTATATTATCATAAAATAGATTCTTTTTCTTCAAATGAAGGCTTATGTCCTGTGTTGGGGATTTGCAAATAAGAGCAGAGTGACTTAGGCAAGATTTTACTTTAGATGAACATTGTCAGATAAAGCAAAAATATGAAGATTTTTATTGTAAGAGTTGATAAAAGTGCCTTGTTCAGCCTTTGGCTCCTTCTTTATGTGAATCGGTGTATGCCAGCACTGAGGGTAGAAATTTACATGGTATTACACTATACTATGTCAAGAAGACCAACATATGCCAATGTTTAGAATTCTTAATGATTTTCCTCAAACCCAATCCTTTTTCTTTCCCTACACTACAAATAGTCGTAGACATGTACTGTATATTGTCCTCAGATCAGTTAGGAGCCACTAAGGAGTTATAAGGGTTCCCCAGTTTTTTCTAATTTAAAAGCATATACCGGGTACATGTAAGGTGAAAAAATCTCTCATTCTTCTTTAACATATAAGATAGGGCTGGGATGATACATATACAACTTTTTCTATATCAATACATATCATGATATTTGAGCCACGATACGATATGTATCACGATATGTTTAATTGCTTATAAAATCTGTTTTTGCATTGAAATAAGCAAATTATTTCTTTGCAAATAGGAATAATTTATTCAAAATAGTTGTTTATATGTTGTAAAACAAAAATATTTTACTCAAGTGGTGTTAATTATTATTTATTTCACATCTATATTTATATATATCTTATTTACTTTATATATTAAACCCAAATGTTTTAAATAAGAAAGAAAAATAGAAGTAAGATATTTGGGGGCGATATTTCAATATTTCTTCATATGTATCGATATGCGTATTGTCCTCACAGATATCTCGATATATCGTCCCAGCTCTAATATAAGACAAATCAAATTTTCATGGTATTGTTAAAATTTAACAAAATGTAGCAATGTTTATTTTTGACAAATCCTGTTTTTATGCCCCACCATGAATATGGCCGGGGCATATAATGTTTGTCATATCCGTCTTCTGTCCTTCCATCTGTCCTTTCATTACACTTTGCATTTAGCTCTGTTCTATTCAAAGCTCAGTTTCATTAATTTAAGAAACTATCCAAGATATTTTCATCAAACTTCAAATGCTGATAGATATTGATGAGAACTATGCAACTGCATCAACATTTTTTGACCTTCACCTTTCCTTTGACCTTGACCTCACTTTTTCTTTAATTAAAGTTTAGCTCAGTTTAAAACATACCATTCAAGATGGTGTTATCAAACTTCATATGCTGATACATACTGATGAGAGCTATTCAACTGCATCACCATTTTTGACCTTGACCTATCTTATAACCCTTTTTACCTCACTTTTCCTAAATACGTGTCGAACAATTATATGTTGATATATACTTATGTAAGCAATTCAACTGCATCAACATTTTTGACCTTGAACTTTTTGACCTTGACCAAACTTTTATAAAATTGTGTTTAAGTCAGTTTTAAAGAAATCATTTACGATATTTTTATCAAACTTCATATGTTGATACATATTGATGAGAGATATGCAACTGCATCAACATTTTTGACCTTGACCTTTGCTTTGACATTCTGACCTCACTTTTCCTAGATTAGTGTCAAACTTCATATGCTGATACATATTGATGTATGCAATTCAACTGTATCAATATTTTTTTACCGTGACCTTTCATTTGACCTTGACTTCACTTTTATCAAATGAGTTTTAAAGAAACTATTTACAATAATTTTTTTTCAACTTCATATGCTGATACGTACTAATGAGAGCTTTTCAACTTGGCATTTCCTTTGACCTTTGACTTCACTTTAAAGAAATTAGTGTCAAACTTCATATGCTGATACATATTTATGTCAGCAATTCAACTGTATCCACATTTTTTACCTTTGACCTTTCATTTGACCTTGACCTCACCTTTATCAAATTGGGTATATGTCAGTTTTAAAGAAACCATTTATAATATTTTTTTCAACTTCATAAGCTAATACATACTGATGAAAGCTTTTTAACTGCGTCAACATTTTTTTTTACCTTGGCATTTCCTTTGACCTTGACCTAACTTTAAAGAAATTAGTTTCAAACTTTCATATGCTGATACATACTGATGTAAGCAATTCAACTGCACCACTATTCAAGATATTCTGATCAAATTTCATACACTAATACAAATTTTCATGTTGCTTTACTAATATACCCTTGGCGGGGCATTCATGTCCTATATACATATCTCTAGTTAGTTTTAGGAAACTAAAGACAGAACTTGTCAAAAATAAACATTGTTACATTTTGTTAAATTTTAACAATACCATTGACAATTTGATTTGTCTTAAATGTTAAAAGAAGAATACACAGAGCTACAGGTAATCATGAATTCAGGGCAATTTATGTAACCTATTTTCATTTGATATACAGCCCTAACCTGACTGTTTAGTTCATCAAAAATAGTCATTAGCGATACTGATGATAATAAATTGACCATCAAGACACTGCATTGCAAAAGGTTGAGAACCTTATTTACTAAATGAAAGAGGCCAAAAGAGGCATTGACCTAGGCTAAAAAGTCATATAATTGAGTTTGGGAGTCCATGGAAACTTGTTACAGTGCTGAATGAACAATGGAAAATTGTCCGTTTTTATCATATATATATACATTATTATCTGAAAATGACAGTTTTTTAACATGTTTAAGGTAGTTTAGATTATGAATTATTGATGGTAAAAAAATAAAAACAAGCAACGAAGAAAGCTTTAATTTTTGTTTCTGTGGCTCTGTGACATATTTTACAGTTTGAAATAAACATTTGTGTATTTACCCAGGAGTAAAATTACTTAACAAGGTTTGGAATTTTATGACTTAAGGGTCATTAATACTTTGATAAGAGAGATAACTCTTAATGACAAATATGTCTATTATTCCTTTATAAATTTGCCAGGTTGAAGTATATTTTCTGTCCAATTTTGCCCCGCAAGCTATACGTTCATTGTTTGTATTTTACTTATAAAAATATATTTCTTTTTGAAAATCATTAAGGTTCAAGAAACATTTTATATCTGTGAGCAGAGGGTTTATGAACCTTAATATAGGTTTAGTAGTGGATGAATGAAGTCAATTTTCTTGGATATGAAGTTGTAAGATATTGATAAATATTTTGTCAATGATAAATCCCAAATAATATCATGATTATACAAAGACAATATCTGGCCTTTCTTTAAAATGTCACTTGGCATTATCATGATTATAATGGTTCTGTGTAGTGGGAAAGTGTCCTAAATTGTATTAGATGAACATTGCCTGGAGAGAGAAGAAAGTGATTGACTTGAACAATGTCGAAGAAGCCAGATAAAATTAGTGAGAATGTGTTTTGATCTGTGTGACTATTTTGTAGATGGTGTTCGATTAAGAGATCTGGTTCAGAATGGATATGACGAAAACGTGGAGAGTGAGAAAGTAAAATCAGAGGATGCTGGGATAGATCTGGCAGCGGCAGACGAGTACCAACAGAAGGTGGAAACCACTAAGGCGGTGTCCTCTGATGGGACCACCTCCACCCCACATCCCATGCCCAAGGCTCCCCAGCCCCACGTACAGCCCGACCCAGACTCCAAGGAGAAACCACTCATCCCTCTGTCAAAAGATAGCATTCTCTTTATAGGTTGGAGATTAAGCCAAAACTGGCTTTTCTGATTCTCTTTCTTTGATTCCTTTTGTAAAATTAAGATATACTCAGTGATTGGGAAGGCCAAAATGGTCAATGGGACTATGGCGCAACTGTCAACATTTTTGATGGGCCATTTCGAAAATGAATGGGCCATCAATTTAATCTGAAGTGCCATTTCAAGAATTAACAAAGTGACAAACAAATATGAAATACGAGAGAAAACACGTTTTTAATTAAACGAATCCGATTTTTAATGCACGAAATACAGCAAATTTAAAGGAACTTGCTTAGAATATAACAGACCTGTATTATGTGTTAAAATTACGACAGTTTTGGAAAGGGAACAGCCCTACCATACAAATGAATGAAGTATAGCAACTCATGTAAAACCTTCGTTTAACCTGAAGTACTTTTTGACAGATTTGTTGTTTTAAATTAAGAAAGAAAGTCGTACGCAAAATATTTCCAAATAACATCGCTAAAAATTGAATGTGCACCTTGGCGCCATCATTGATTGATTTAATGTGCCATTTTTCACTTCAATGCGACTATGGTGCATGGCGCAAGCCCTTCCCAATCACTGTATACTAAAGTCTGATTTATCCTCAGAAAACAATCACTGTAAATTTGAAAGGTTTAATGGTTGTTGCAAAATGTCAGAAAAACTTATTACATGTATTTATGAAATACAGTTTGACATACATATCAATGAGACACCAAAGAATAACTGTATTTTCTGTACTATAGCATGTTTAAGTGAGCACCTTTGATCAATGTCTGATATAAATTTTGTAGGAATCGTGACAGCATGCAGTTTGGCTGGTTTTGTTGGACTCATTATGGCAGGAGTTTGCTGGTACAAGTAAGTGAACAGAACCAAGAAAGTTTCTGAAAAATGGTTTATATTGGAAAATATTCTGTAGATGTGACTTAGTCTGTCATAACAAGACTTCCTTTCTCTCAAAAGTGAATTTTTTCGCCAATTGTAATCCTGATTCAGTCCTAGCAGTACACTGGTCTCTCTAACCTATATTTATCTTTTCGTCTATTGTTCCTGTAGTGTACCTAAGTTCTACATGTGGGTTGGGTTGTATGCTACCTTTGGTAATCCTGGAATACTGAAGGGTTGGAATTGTTTTGTTTTTTTTTTATATATGAATGGACAATTTAAAAAATTAAAGAAGGGGACATAGAAAAAATATTTAAAAATCTTTTCAAGAACAGCAAAACCATAATTAGTAATATATGTATATAGTGTTGGAGATTCAAGTTTGTTCATACAATAATCCCTTGGGATTAGATAGAAAATCATGATTGTCATGTGTAAGTTAGGGCGTGGATGAGGGATCATATTAAGAGGAATTATTCAAAGGTGTGGACTGCTTCAAATTTTTCATCATGGTTTTTCAAATGAATGAAACAAGTTCATTTTTTTGTCTCGTGACCTTATACTTGTATCATTAACTGAATTGTGACAGAGGATAAAAAAGATACTAGCTTCCATGTGTTAGGTCATATATGTTGTGTGTTGTCTTTAAGCTTCTTGCATTTCACAACTATGACAGACAATTCCACTAAACTTGGAAGTGGATATATTTGATTGAAGAGAACTTAAGTTTGTTCAAATTATCCCCATCCATATTTTTAAAGGGGATCCGAGATAGAAAAAATATGGATGGGGATATTTTAAAAAAAAAGAAACATTTGGCAGGGTCATTGAAACAGTTTTTTTTCAAGTTTGTCCAATCTTGGCTTCAGAGGCTAAGCCAGGGCCAGGATTGGGAAAAATGTTCCTTGAAGTTTTACACTGAAATATATTGACATGTAGAAGGATACTGTGCTTACAACTACTTAAAATTAAAGTTCTTTTTTTTTTGGAAATGCCAGTAGAAGGTGTCATTTATCAACGTCTACATTATGAAACATTTTTATAAAGTCAGTATGTTTTTTGAAATATCCAGTACATAATGGTGACTTTTGTGAACTTTTGGTGAAAGGATTTATTGTCACCTGCTTGAAAAGTGGGGGATATTAATTTGGGTTTGTCCGTCCGTCCGTCTTTCTGTCTGTCTGTAACGCTTTCGTTTCCACACGATATCTCGAGAACCCTTTGAGCTTTTGCAATGAAATTTAGCATAGCAACTCCCTATGGACTAAAGAAGAACCCTATTGATTTTGAGGTCAAAAGGTCAAAGGTCAAGGTCATAAATAAGCAAATTCTGTCTGTTATAATACTTTCGTTTCCACACGATATCTCTAGAACCATTTGAGTTATTGCAATGAAATTTTACATAACAACTCCCTGTGGCCTAATAAAGACCCCTATTGATTTTGAGGTCAAAAGGTCAAAGTTCGAGGTCGTAAATTTACACATTCTGACTGTGTGCAACACTGTCATTCCCGGGCGATATTTCAAGAAGATTTTGAGCTTATTCAATGTAATTTTGTCCCCCGCTTGAAAAGTGGGGGATATTAATTTGGGTTTGTCCGTCCGTCCGTCCGTCCGTCCGTCTTTCTGTCTGTCTGTAATGCTTTCGTTTCCATACGATATCTCGAGAACCCTTTGAGCTTTTGCAATGAAATTTAGCACAGCAACTCCCTATGGACTAAAGAAGACCCCTATTGATTTTGAGGTCAAAAGGTCAAAGGTCAAGGTCATAAATAAGCAAATTCTGTCTGTTAAAACACTTTCGTTTCCACACGATATCTCTAGAACCATTTGAGCTATTGCAATGAAATTTTACATAACAACTCCCTGTGGCCTAATAAAGACCCCTATTGATTTTGAGGTCAAAAGGTCGAAGTTCAAGGTTGTAAATTTATACATTCTGTCTGTGTGTAACACTATCATTTCCGGGCGATATTTCAAGAAGATTTTGAGCTGTTGCAATGTAATTTTATACCAAAACTCCCTAGGACGTCTCTCGCCCCTCTCAAAGTGCCCCGCCCCGTTTGTTTTATTAGTATTTATAGTATTACATGTCGCTATTTTTAGCGCAGGGGCATGAGGAGAGTTATTGCGTATAAAACAGGTTCTCGGCGGACTTTATGTTCTTATTACATCTATTAGAACTGTTTAATAAAGGCTAAAAAATCAAACACCATGGATTGTGTAAAATTTTGAGAATACTGAACATGAAAACATGAATATATACATGTATGTGATTTCAGTTCTGCATATACTTCGTTCCTTGTAAAGCGACTCCGTGGTCTAGTGGTTATGTCTCTCGCTTCAAATATGAGAGGTCCCGGGATCGAATCTTGATCGGATCGGGTTTTTTTTTCGTTCTTTTTAAAATACTTCTTTTTTTTTTACTAAATGATAGTATTCAGCATGTGAAATGAAAAATTTATGAGGTTATAAAATCATCATTACAGTGTGATAAATATTCCATATGAAAAAATCTTCTATACACATAATAAAGAATAAGCAATCAAATCTTTATATGCATATTGACATACATGTATTTTATTTCCTTCAGTATACATGTATACATTTAATAATTCTACAAATTCAGTCAGGGGGAGCCGACTTTTTCCCTAAGCGGGGGACACGAATTCTCTGAATTAGCTTGTTTCTATTCATTTCTTGATTCTTTGGTTATATTGTTAGTGAAGTTGTGTGTCTGGCAGGTCTTTCGAAGTTGATTTATCTATAGAATCACAAATATATCCATGGTAACACATAGAAATCTGATTATTTCAGTGTTTTGACACGTTGGAAGCGTTGAAGTGAAGGATTGGTAAAGTACATAAGGCATTTGATAAACACCTGGAAAAGGAGAACAAATTTTCTTTCAAAACAATGTTAGAAGAATAGTTTTATATATGGCTACTCCTCCATGGCATTTGATCCCATCTCTGATATTTTTAGAAGTCCATTATTCTCAGCTCCAATTTTTTTATTGTTTCATCCACATACACCTATGAGCTGGACCCAGGGAGGGATTTTATAGCATATTTGAAATGAATCATTATATGATGAAGTAGTATTCTATCAGTTGAAAAATAGTAAAATTTTGTCATAATTTTGTGAAATTTTATAGAGACTGATATATGCAATAGGCATAAGGTTTTCATAAAATAGAATCTCTATCCTGATTTCCATACCTTTCAAAATTAGGTGTAGTTTTTACGTAATAGGCAGGTACTTAATTTAAGTGTCATAAGAATGATAAAACTCAATGAAAGGTGGCAAAGAAAAAGGTATGAGGAAAATAGAGAAAAATTGCATCGCAAAAAAAGAAAAAAAATGCATATGTACTTTAATGTCTGTGTTTGTCTTTGAAAAACATTTTTAAAAAACTCCAACCTAATGTGATATACCTAATGAATCCCTAAAGTGATTATGGCTGGGTATTCAGATTTATTTCATTAGGTTTAATTATCTGTCTAAGACATCAGTTCCCTGCCCTGTGATCTTTAGGCAGTGTTGGAGAAGTCCAGCAGATGTTCATTCTGTAGCACATTAAGCATCATTTACTTGATGGAGAGTATTATATGACACAGTGACATATATTTTTTATGTTTTTTTTTCCATGGACCACCAGTGTCTTTTGATGAATCATCGGTACAATATCCGGCCATTGAAAGAATATTAAAATATCACCAACCTACTTGTAATATATCAAATGAATACTCACAAGTGAGTATCGCTGGGTATTGAGATTTATTTCATTATCCAAGATTTAATTATCTGTCAAAGATAGCTGTTTAGAAGTAAATCAAGTTTAATTATTTTTCATCAGAAGTAGATTAGAGAGACTTTATTTGTATGCTGTATAGTTTCCTAAGGATGAGGAATGTTTTCCAAAGCAGCCAGAATTTTCCAATATCTCATTGAGAATAAGATTCACGGAAAATAAAAATTATCCATTATGTTACAGTGTGGGCAGGATGATTATTCTTCTGTGAAATATTGCCTCCTACGTTTTCAACAAAATCTGAATCAATATTTGCAAATGGTGCCAATGTATCATTGTACTTTGGAAAGCCTATGTAGTTCCTAACGGGATTTTATTCCACTCTTCATATTGTACTTAATTAGAGGAACTAGATTGACTCTGGAGACTGTGTAGGATTCAATTATAGCTCCACTCATGTGCACTCAAACATCATAAAACTTGCATCCTTTGAAAAAATGTCAATTTGTGACTTTAATGTATAAAATTGACTTTTTAAAATGTTGATTCTTTACCCTGGGGAAACTTTAGTGAGATAATTAAAATTTATTGATAATTGTCAATCAGAGTAAACTTTTGTTTTTTTTCTATAACCATTGAACACTGCCACTATTTGTCACTAGTTTAAAAGATTATTATATTCAAAAGTACTCATTTTTCATTTGTTTTGGGAGAAAAAGATGCTTTCTTTTCCACAAGGCTCTTGTCATTGTTATTATTATGTTATTATATTCATTAGCTCCTGATTAACAAGATACAGATTTCTTTTACAAAGGATTTAAGGAGTTTCCTCTCTCTTTATATACAGTGTATCAAACAAGGTGCAACTCTTCACGATATTGTGGCTGAATCATTGAAATAAAGCTGTCATTTGGAGGAATTCTAAGTAGATTATGGCATCTCTGTAGCTCAGATCCCTATCAAATGATCATTGATTTGTCTGTGTAAGTTTCTACAGTGTAAGAATAGGCTCAAGTTGTACTTGACAGGCACTAAAAGCTAGGGTCGACATGTTGGAGACTATAGAAATTTCAGTAAAAACCCACTTATAACAAAATGACAGGGACAGACAATTTTGCTTCAATATAAATGTAATTAGTTGCATTCATTAAATTCATACAGATAAATCATATCATACATCTACATATATTATATGATTTATGTCAGTTCCTTTAAGTAT